GAGGTGGGAATTGGATCTTCCCATTTAATTTTATCTGAACTTTTCCCCTCTGTCCTTGTATGGTTTCTTTCCTCTTTTCCTTTCATTATCACAGTGTGTATCTGTTCTAATTTCTTCTTTCCTTGTGTCTTTCTCTCTTTCCATATTTCTTTATACTTCCTCTCTCCCTTTTTTTCTTTCTTCTTCTCAGATTATTGCTAAGCTTCATAACATTAAGTGTTAAGTGTAGACTTGCATAGAAAAGTTTTCTACATCCCCAAGCAAGGTATATTTTGTAGAGGGTGGGGTGCCTCTGAAGAGAGACTCTTAGTTATGGCTGTTATCAATTTTGAGATAAGCGATAAGAAATACTTTTTTCTGCGTGTGGAATCTATTTCAGAAGATGGTAGTGAAACAACATGAGAATCACTGGTTCCTGGAGTGTGGAGGGGTTATTAATCAACCTTTCATTCTGAAAATATTTACCAACTTGAACACCTAATTAGGAACTTTGGGCAATGCAAATAAAGTCTTTAAAGCATTATGATTAAAAGCAAAAGACTATAGTTTACATATTAAGGTGTTTTTTATTCATGTTTAAAAGGACACATCACAGACCATTCTCTTCCTGAAATCCTTGACCTTGCTGGATAATACTGGCCCTTCTTTTGAATTTCTATTATTTTTTCCCTCCTCACATATTCAAGCAGTAATTTTCTCTACTTTTTGTACAACATATATTGTCTACTGCCTTATAATGTAGCTATTATGTATGCAATTTATTCCTTGATATGTTCCCTATTAAAGAAAGCTTTATAAAATAATTGAGAACTTGTATTTGACTTTTAAGGAGAGTAAACTATAGACAGGCAGAAATGATGATGTGATAACAAATGTTCTTTCAAATAATTTACTACTGTTGTGTCCTTCCAAATGAGCACCAAGATGAGAAGAGTGAGCAAGTGTGGCAACAATGAATGATCTCATTTCTGTATACTGTGTATTTCTAATATTTAATTGGTCATTTTGTTGTTGTTGTTGTTGTATGTAGTTATTATGGCCAGGCAAAATAATTTAGTGCAAATAATAGGAAAAGCTTCAGCTGAAGCCACCCTCAGGACCACCCTCGGATCAGCCAATCAAAAGAAATGTGTAACATTCCTGTGGTCTGAGTCAGGGCTGGGAACTGAAGGTAGTTACTCTGTACAAACTACCCAATCACTCACCGCTTGCCTAAACCCCAGGTAGGCCCTTTGAGCTCACCTTATAATTGGTCATTTTCAAAGGATTCTCAAAGGTCATGACTGGGTCCCGCCAAAAGTAACGGACGCCTCACGGATACTGAATGGTCAAAACTATAACCATGGGTGTTGTACAATTATGATTGGTGCTTACGTGATGATGTAAAATGTACAACGTGTGCACTGTAAAAAAACGGAGGTTTTTACCCCATAAAAACCCTGCTCACCATTGTTCGAGGCTTCTCCTTGCTGCCGCTGCACCGGTAGACAGGTGAGCCCCTGCTAGACCTTGTAATAAAGACCCTTATGTACTTGCATCAGTGACGGCTCCTTAGGGGCCTCAGGGGACTCACAATTTGGGCACAACAAGCCCAGCATGAGACTGGAACCCGTGAACTGTGAGATCATGACCTGAGCAAAGTTGGACGCTAAGTGACTAAACCACCCAGGTGCCCCATAAAATTAAATTTTTAATTGTGATTTTTTTACTCTTTCTTAGGTTGTTTTCTACAGGATCTGTGATTTCTGGATCAAGAATCTAGAGACCTGGGTTCTGGTCACTAGTTCTGGCACTTGTGTGACTATAAGCTATTCAGGTTAGATTTTTGAATCTCAGGTTTTTCATGTGAATAATGGTGAGTCTGGAAAAGGCTGTCTCTTAGACAAAAATACTGGTATGATTTCACTAGGTGCATATGCATTCCACAGAAAAGTCTTCATGTTTTTTGCTTAGTTGGTGAGTATTTCTGGTCATGTCCCCAGTGCCTCTGTCAGTCATCCATGCATATTTATCCCACTGGTTGTCTTCCTTCTGTCTGTCTCTCACAAAGTTGGTTCCCTTTTCTCTAGCTCAGGCTCAGAGATTTCTGATGGAAGAGCTTGAAGCTATAGAAGGTGTATGTTCTGAGACTATGGACTGTGGACTCAGGAGCTGACAGCAAAATTATTTGATTCAGGTACATGTGGAGAGACTCAGTTCAGTATTGGTGAACTAGAATTGAGGTCAGATCACAGTGAGTGCTTTTTTAAGTTTTGGGGCAGAAGAATGTGTTAGGACAGATGAGAGTATCAACTGGATGTTTTTTTGTTTCTTGGTTTGTTTATTTATTTTTTTTGAGAAGATTCTTAAAATTCCTGGAGCTGTGTCTACAAAAGGAGAAGAATGTCAGTAACCCTGTACTGCATTCCAGTACCTTCTAAAAGAATAAAACTTCAGGCACTTTCAGGGCTTACCCTCTACCTCACTGTGGTGGGTATTTGGACACAGAGCAATGGAATCTTCCCTACTTTCATCCCTTCTTCTCCTAAATACAAAACATACTCAAAACTTAAAAGTCACCAGCCACCTCACTTTCTTTTTTAAAGGTTTTATTTTTAAGTAATCTCTACATCCACTATGGGGTTTGAATTTATAATCCTGAGATCAGGAGTCACATGCTCTACCAACTGAGCCAGCTAGGCACCCCAGTTACCAACCTTTTAGTATCAGCTTTAGGTATAGGTGATCAAGCCAAGGAGACAGCTCTGGTGCCTTCCCATAATGTTACTGAAATTTGACATTCTTTTCATTTCAAAATGGGCTGAGAGCTTAAAAGTACAAATGACCTTGGAGAGAAAATATACCTGCATAGATTTCAGACACAATGAACACAATGATGTCAAGTACCAGAGCAGGTTACAATTAAAGAAAGTACTGACTACTTTAAAAGGATTGAGATACTACTGAGCAGCACTACAGGGTGGGTGAGGGTTAGTCACTGATGAAGAAAACTTTAGTATTTCAATGTTTCCAATGGACAGATAGAAGCTGTTTGCAGGTGTATTTCACATCACTTGTGGTGATACAGGCCTATGTTTTAGCAAAACCTAGGGTGAAATCCCAAATATCTGTATGCATTAGGTCTGGATAAAATTCTCACAGGGCCGGGGCGCCTGGGTGGCTTAGTCGGTTAAGCGTCCAACTTTCTCTTAGGTCATGATCTCGCGGTTCGCAGGTTCGAGCCCTGCGTCGGGCTCTGTGCTGACTGCCAGCTCAGAGCCTGGAGCCTATTTCAGAGTCTGTATCTCCCTCTCTCTCTGACCCTCCCCTGCTCACGCTGTCTCTCTCTCTCTCCTAGAAATAAATAAAAATATTAAAAAAAAATTCTCACAGGGCCAGGTGTAGGTGCCAGAGGGAACTGTATTGAGTCATATGGCCAGTAAAAGTCTCTGTATAATTAAAAAATTTTTTTTGATGTTTTATTTATCTTTGAGAGAGACAGAGTGTTAGTGGGGGAGGGGCAGAGAAAGAGGGAGACAGAATCCAAAGCAGGTTTTAGGCTCTGACCTATCAGCACAGAGCCCAATGCAGGGCTTGAACTAATGAAATGTGAGCTCATGACCTGAGCTGAAGTCAGACACTTAAGCAACCCAGCCACCCAGGTGCCCCTGTATAATTTTGATTGAACTTTTTCTTTAAAGTTTCTTTTTTATGGGCTGGCTCTCTCTCTCTCTCTTTCCTTCAAAATAAAAAACAATGTATGAGGAGAGAGCAGGGGAGGGGCAGAGAGCAAAGGAGAGAGGCTCTGCATTGCCAGCACAGAGCCCAAGCCTACATGATTGTAGTTCAGTCCTACAAACTGTGAGAATATGACCTGAGCTGAATTGAAGAGCTGGATGCTTAACCAACGGAGACACCCATTGATTGAACCTTAAAAAAAAAAAAAAAAAAAAAAAAGAAGATGTAGTTGGTGAACCTTGAGGATATTATGCTAAGGGGGATAAGACAGTCAAAGACAAATACTGTGCAATTCTATATCTATGAGTTATCTAACATAGTCAAATTCATAGAAACAGAAAGTAGAATGCTGGTTAGCAGGGGCTGAAGGGAGGGAGGAAAGAAGAGATGTTGTTTAATAGGTATCAAGATTCACAATTGCAAGATGAAAAAATTCTGGGGAATTTTTTTATAACACAAATATATTTAATAATACTGAACTGTACACTTACATGGGGTTTATATGGTACATTTTAATATTATATGGTTTTTACCACAAAAAAAAATTGGGAAGGTTCAGAAAAGCAGTGAACTTGATCTGACATGATGACAAAGAATGAAATTCTATTTTTGATAAGTCCCCTTTCTCCCTCTTTTACTTCTCTTGCCTGGTTTTGGTGCTTTCTTATTCCCCAGTTTCATTGTCCCTGATCTCCAACTACATCCTACTCTACAATGCATTTCTCCTTAATTCATTCCCATCTCATGTTTCAGAAAACTTTCACTCTAAGATGCTGATCCCTTGATTAATCAGTTTCCCTACAACCCTACTCTCTACGTATAATTGAAAATGATCATAAAAGGGAGATTAAGTGTGTTGATATGGGAAAGTAAGGTCAGATATAATTTGTATAACTGTTTAATTTCCCTTTGTACATAATTAAATAAATTTATTTCCACCTTTGCCTCTTTTTCTCTGGTAAACAAATAAACTTTCTTGGTTGTATGTTCTGTTTCTTGCTGCAGGCACCTATGAAGCTTTTCTTCTTGCCTAATTCTCCTATTAATTTTAGGCTATGACAGATTTTTCTGATGATTTCAATTACGATCTCTTAAGTGGTGTTTATGTCATCATCGTCATCATTATCATCATTACTTATGAAATGTGAAGAATTGGATTACCAGGTAGTTCTCATTTGTAATGCAACATAAATGACTAATACCAGTATCATCCTGATAATCACAATTTCTTTCTCACAGTCTTAGTTCTCATCATTTCAATGACAGCCCAGTTGGCTGGATGAATGGATGGAGGGAATCACTCGGTTGTGTCTGAGTTTGTGTTTCTGGGACTCACTCATTCATGGGAGATGCAGGTTCTCCTCCTGGTGTTCTCCTCTGTGCTCTATGTGGCAAGCATGACCGGAAACACCCTCATTGTGTTTTCTGTGACCTTTGATCCTCACTTACATTCCCCCATGTACTACCTACTGGCCAGTCTCTCTTTCATTGACTTGGGAGCCTGCTCTGCCACCTCACCCAAGATGATTTATGACCTTTTCAGAAAGCACAAAGTCATCTCCTTTGGAGGCTGCATTGCCCAGATCTTCTTCATCCACGTCATTGGTGGTGTGGAGATGGTGCTGCTCATCGCCATGGCCTTTGACAGATATGTTGCCATTTGTAAGCCTCTCCACTACTTGACTATCATGAGCCCACGAATGTGCGTTTTGTTTCTGGCTGCTGCCTGGGCCCTTGGTGTCAGTCACTCACTGTTCCAACTAGCATTTATTGTTAACTTACCCTTCTGTGGTCCTAATGTATTGGACAGTTTTTACTGTGACCTTCCTCGGCTCCTCAGGCTGGCCTGTACAGATACTCACAGATTGCAGTTCATGGTCACTATTAACAGTGGGTTTATCTGTGTTGGTTCCTTCTTAATACTCAAAATCTCCTACATCTTCATCCTGTTTACTGTTTGGAAACATTCCTCAGGTGGTTCATCCAAAGCTGTTTCCACCCTGTCAGCTCACATCACTGTGGTCCTTTTGTTCTTCGGTCCAACCATGTTTGTCTATACATGGCCACATCCCAATTCCCAAATGGACAAATTTCTTGCTCTCTCTGATGCAGTCATCACCCCTTTTCTGAATCCAGTCATCTACACATTGAGGAATAAAGAGATGAAGGCAGCAATGAAGAGAACTTTCAGACCATTAATGATTTTTAGAATGATTTCATAGAAAATGCTATAAGATTTTTATCCTAATCATTATGTAGCTTGTGTCTGGAGTTTTAGAACTGGTTTCTTTAGTGATTCTGCAATTGATTTTAGTGTTCCCATATCCTTTAGGAATGCTCTTCTTGGGGAGCCTGGGTGGCTCAGTCAGTTAAGCATTCGACTTCAGCTCAGGTCATGATCTCGCGGTTTGTGGGTTCGAACTCCGCATTGGGCTCTGTGCAGAAAGCTAGCTCAGAGCCTGGAGCCTGCTTCAGATTCTTTGTCTCCCTCTCTTTCTGGCCCTTCCCTGCTCACGCTGCCTCTCTCTCTCTCTCTCAGAAATAAATAAAACACATTAAAAATTTTTTTAAAAAAGGAATGCTCTTCTTCCCTTAGATAATGAAGACCTAGACAAATAAATCCTTAATTCAAAACTTATGTTGATTCACATGGAGTTGTGTGTATATATATGTACATATATACATATGCATATATGCATGTGCATATATGTGCTACTTAAAATCATTTCTTTGCTTCACCATCGCTGTTAAAGTATTCAGTGTATCATTGTTGTTTTCAATTTATCCATATATTTCCTTATAATCTATCTCTAGAGATAACAAGATGCTAATTATTCACTTGTGATTGATAGTCTCCACTATTACCAATAATAGCTCTTTATCTTACTCCTTGTGAGTTGGAAAATATTCATACCTAATCCAGGTTATTCAGGTCTATTATAAGCTGTTAGCTTTTTCTTTATGATTTGGAGGGCACAGTTATCTTGTTTAGCTAGAAAACTTTGCATTCAGATTGTTCTTCAAGTAATTAAAAACAATCTGATTGCAGACTACAGGGGTACTAATTTCTCCTGCTTCATTGTGTTCTGCCTTCATGCCCCCTTTCTCACTAATCTTTCTCATAGATAATTACTTCATGATCACTTAATATTTTTTCTATTGGTGATGTAAAGTTTTGTGAAATTTTGAAAAGCATAAATCGATGACACCCTCTGATTTTCTTTTGATCCCATACATATGTACATTCATGAGCCAGTAATTCATTCTTTGCTTTATTCATATGTCCTCTAAAGTTATCTTTTTGCTTACTACATATATGGATTTATGCTTACTCTATATCTGGAATTGTTTCTAGGAATTCATGGAAGCACCCCAAAATGTATGTCCTAGAAGATGATATATATGTTTAATTATTTAATTTAATTTATTTTAATTAAAAATTTCTTTAATTTTTGAGTGTATGTGCCACACAATGTTACATTAGTTTCATGTATTCAACACAGCAATATTTTACTATCTTATTGCTGTGGCTAGGACTTCCAGTACTATGTTAAATAAAAGTGATGAGAGGGGGCAAGCTCTCAGTTTAATCCCATTTAAAATGGGATTAGCTGTGAGTTTTTTATGCATGGTCTTTATTATGTTGAGATATGTTTCCTCTAATCTTACTTTATTGAGGGATTTATATCATGAATGGATAATGCTTTTTTATGCATCTACTGAAATGATCATAATGTTCTTCTCCCTTCCTTTGTTAATGTGGTGTGTCATGTTGATAGATCTACAAATATTGAAATACCCTTGTAACCCAGGAATAAATCCCACTGGATTGTGATGAATGATTTTTTTAATGTATTGTTGGATTCAATTTGTGAATATTTATTGGAAACTTTTGCATTTCCTTGTAGGGTTGGGTTAGTGGTCACAAAGTCCTTTAGTTTTTCTTTGTCTGGGAAACCCTTTATTTGTCCTTTTACTCTGAATGATAGCCTTACCTGATCAAATATTCTTGGCTACAGATTTTTTCCATTCAGCACATTGAGTATATCATGTCACTTCCTTCTGGCTTACCAAGTTTTTGTTGAGAAATGTCTAGCTACCTTAGAGGTTTTCCCTTATAAGTTAAAGACTTGTTTTGTTGCTTTTCAGATTGTTTTTCTTTATCGCTGCGTTTTGCACTCTATGTTACAATATGTCTTGGTGTTGGTCTGTGTTTGTTGATTTTGTTGGGAGTCTCCTGATGCCTCCTGAACTTGGATGTCTGTTTCCTTCCCCAGATTGGAGAAGTTTTCTGCTATTACTTCTTAAAATAAATTTCCTGCCCCCTTTGCTTTCTGTTCTTCTTGTGTTACTCTATATTAGGAAGACTTTTACATTTGATAGACTTAATTTCTTAAGTCTATTCTCATTTTGTATAATTCATTTTTCTCTCTTTTGTTCAGCCTCATTACTTATTTTTCATGGTCTCCTAGGTCACTAATTCATCCCTTGGCTTCTTCCAGACTGCTTTTCATTGCATCACACCTGTTTCCAATCTCATGTATTGCATTCTTCATCTCTGATTGATTTTTATTTATTTTTTTTCTAATAGTTTATTGTCAAATTAGTTTCCACATAACACTCAGTGCTCATCCCCACAAGTGCCCTCCTCCATGCCCATCCCTCCTCCCCCCTCACATCCATCAGTCCTCAGTTTTTGTCATCATTCAAGAGTCTCTCATGGTTTGCTTCTCTCCCTTTCCCCCACCATTTCCCCCCTTCTTCTCCCCCTTGTTCCTCCATCAAGTTCCTCCTAATCCTCCTATACGTGCAAACATATGGTATTTGTCCTTCTCTGCCTGACTTATTTCGCTCAGCATAACACCCTCAAGGTCCATCCATGTTGCTACACATGGCCAGATTTCATTGTTTCTCATTGCCATGTAGTATTCCATGGTATAGATAAACCACATCTTCTTGATCCATTCATCTGTTGATGGACACTTAGGCTCTTTCCATGTTTTAGCTATTGTGGAGAGTGCTGCTATGAACATTGGGGTACATGTGCTCCTATGCCTCAGCATTTCTGCATCCATTGGGTAAATTCCTAGCAGTGCTATTGCTGGGTCCTAGGGGAGTTCTATCGTTAGTTTCCTGAGGAACCTCCACACTGTTTTCCAGAGCAGCTGCACCAGTTTGCATTCCCACCAACAGTGTAGGAGGGTGCCCGTTTCTCCACATCCTCGCCAGCATCTAGAGTTCTCTGACTTGCTCATTTTAGCCACTCTGACTGGCGTGAGGTGGTATCTCAGTGTGGTTTGATTTGTATTTCTCTGATGAGGAGGGATGCTGAGCATCGTTTCATGTGTCTGTTGGCCATCTGGATGTCCTCTTTGGAGAAGTGTCTGTTTATTACTTCTGCCCATTTCTTCACTGGGTTGTTTGTTTTTCGGGCATGGAGTTTGGTGAGTTCCTTATAGATTTTGGACACTGACCCTTTATCTGATATGTCATTTGCGACTATCTTTTCCCATTCTGTTGGTTGCCTATTAGTTTTATGGATTGTTTCCTTTGCCGTGCAGAAACTTTTAATCTTGATGAGGTCCCAATAGTTGACTTTTGCTCTTGATTCTATTGCCTTTGGAGATGTGCTGAGTAAGAGAGAGATCTCCTAAGTCAGTGTTTGCAGCAGCACACATCCTGTCCTGGTTTCTGAGCTGTGCGCATGTGAAGCATATCCAAAATAGGATAACAAGACCCTTGAGAACTTATCTATGGTTTGAACTACTACCAGAATCCCAAGAAAACCAATGGGTGTCCCATGACTGAAGCAGACTCAAAGCAGCATAGCAAAGGCTTTGAAAGCAGAACTGACATTGGATCTACTATCATTTGAAGGTAAACAGAACTTATGGTCTGAATCCAATTTATTGCCTACTAAAGGAAGCAAACAGCAACAAAACAATTTCTCCAGAGGATTCCATGTTACCCAGAATCTCACAACATAATAGTCAGAATGTCTGAGATAAAATCTAAAATTACTTGGTATATAAGAATCAGGAAAATATGATCAGTTCAGAAGGAGAGAGTCAAAAGATGCCGAGACTAAGATGCTGGAATTGGCAAATACTTTACATCAATTCTTATTACTATGATTTATGAGGAAAGATAAAAAGCTAGCTTAAATGAGTACAAGTAAATTTCTCAGCAGATATAGAATCTTTAAACAGAAATGATATGGAAGACTTAGGATTTGAAAATACAATATTTGAAATGAAAAAAATACAGTATGGGATGAATAGCAGATAGAAATGGCAAAAGACCGAGACAGTGAACTTGAAGATAAATCCATAGAAATGGTCCACCATGAGGAACAGAGATTAAACATACACGCTCTGAAGAACAGAGACTAAGAAAATTTAGAAGGAAATGAACAGATTCTCAAAGACCTGGGGACAATACGAAAAGGTCTAACATTATTTTCATGAAGTCCCAGAAGAAGAGGAGACAGAGATTAGTATAGAAAAGATGTTTGAAGAAATAATGATTGAAAATTTCCCAGATATATTTAAAGACATACATTAATAGACTCACAAAGCTCAGTAAAACAAAGCAAGATATACTCAAAGAAAAATATGGCCACAATCATTACAGTGAAACTTCAGAAATCTACAGACCAACAAAAAATTTCCTGAAAGCAACCTGAGAAAAAGGAGACATTGTATCAAAGGGAAATGATATAATGTTAACAGATTACTCAGAAAAAAAAAAGCCCATAAAGGCCAGAAGAGAGTGGAATTTCAGTAGGAACTGGAATGGTAAATATAAAAATATAATATTATAATACTCCTCTTTAGGTATCTAAAATATGTATGCATATTAAAAGTAAAAACCATCACATTGAATCATCGATTTTCAGATCGATATTCAGATCAAGGAATTTTTAGATGTAATACATATGAGAACATGACATAAAATGGGAAGTATATAGAGAGGTCTATGGTAGGTCTTTTACATTTTACCTGAACTGGTAGAATATTAAATCTAACTAGACTGTAAAATTAGGTATGTATCTTGTAATCTCCAGAGTGCTACAAAACACCAGCAGCAACAATAACAGAGATATAATAAAAAAGTCAATATAAAAATTTATCAAATTAAAAAAATTCAAATAACTGAAAAAGGAGACTGGAAAGAATGAAGGGAAGAACAACAATAGGGAGAGAAAATGGAAAATAAATGA